AAAAATCCCCAGAATTACTGGTCAGATGGAATCTGGTGGGACCCCCAAGACTATGGCCCTGGGATACACTTTGGGCCTGGGATAAAACTCACTCCCAAGTGCTGGCTCTCAGCCCAATAGTAATAAGACTTACATACAGAACAGCCAACCCAGGGCGATGCACCCACCTATTCTACGGAGATACATCCCTTGGAACTGTCAGCCATGGGGCACCCAAGGAGCAACATTCACATGGAGGGAAAGCTGGACAGACAGGAGTATATAACTAAGAAGGGCACAGGGGGTCACTGGGAAGGGAGAGGAAGAGAGTGGGTTAGGGTTGGGGATGGTAATTGGAGAGTGAAACAACTGTACACAAACTGTTGAAGGTAAAACAAATTCTGTTCTGTAAATTTGCACCTAAAGCACAATTAAAAAATAATAAAAATAAAATAAATATGTGTCTACAGGTCAGAGAGAGAGAAAGTAAGAGATATATGAATCCTGAGAGGGCCTACTGAGGTGGCCACATACAGAAAATGATGTTGACCTCTAGAAGCTGAGAACACTGGCAGGTTAACATGCAGCAAAAAAGCAGGGACTTCAGTCCTACCACTGCAACGAACTGAATTCTGCCAATAACCTACAAAGGTGTGGAAGAGGAACTTGAGCTTCAGATGAGATAGCAGCCACAGGTGACACCTTGTTTCAACTCTGTGAACCCTGAGCAGAGAATCTAGCCAAGCCAAATCCAGACTTCTGACCTACAGAAACTGAGAGATAATAAATGGGTATGTTCACAACCATGAAATTTGTTACAAAAAACAAATACAACTCTACAGGGATTTTGTGCTTATTGTGTTCATTAGTGCCTCTCTAAGACCTAGAACATGCTAAGTACATTATAGGCACTTGATAAATATTTATCACAGAAATTTAAAAGGAATTGCTTTAACCATAGGAAAATCTCACTATATTGTCTTTATTTTTTTCTTATTGTTTCAAACCCAAAACACCTCACTTTCTGTGTCGTTGTTGTTAGGTGCTGTCAAGTCGGTTCTGACTCATGGCAACCCCATGGACAATAAAACACTACAGTCTTACTCTATCTTCATAGTCCTTGCTATGTGTAAACTCATCTTGCAGCCACTGTGTCAGTCCATCTCGAGTGTCTTCTTTTTCACCGACCCTCTATTCTGCCAAGCATGATGACCTTCTCTAGGGACTGATGCTTCCTGATAACATGTCCAAAATACTCCACATGTGTCTGAGGATCATTCTATGGTCAAAACAATTAATGACCCATCGCCCTAGAGCAATGTCTTCTGTCTTAGATAAGCTGCTCCAGGGTAAACAAAGGCTTTATGGACACTCTCTGTGAGTCAGGTGCTACAGGTACCTCTGAGGCTTTCAGATAAGTTTGGTGTTTCAAGTCCCAACAATCTGCCAAGCAAACTAAAAGGAAACACAATAGCTCTAATTTTCCTAAACACAGGAGTGCCCACCTTAAATTTTTTTTTTTTTTTTAACTTAGGATATAAACAAACTCAGCAGAGGTTATTGCTACTGTAAAAATGACCTCTAATTTTATAATCTCCTTGGTAGCAAGAATAGCCCAACTTCTTCTCACCTACTTTGGTCATGTTGTCAGAAGGAATCATTCCCTGGAGAAGGATATCATGCTTAGTAAAGTGGAGGGTCAGTGAAAAAGGAGAAGGCTCTCAATGAGATGCATTGACACAGTGGCTGCAATGATGGGCTCGGGTATAGCAAGGATTGTGAGCTTGGCACAGGACTAGACAGTGTTTCATTCTGTTGTACATAGGGTCACTATGAGTTGGAGCTGACTTGAAACACTTAACAAAAACATAACAACAATTTTAGAATAGTTTCCTGTCCTCAAATATCAATCTTCCATTGTATAAACAACCTTGAAATGAACCTTGAAAACATTATTCTGAGTGAAATAAGCCAGTCACAAAAGGACAGATATTGTATAATCCCACTTACATGAGATATCTAGAATAGACAAGTGTATGGAGACCTTTATTGCTAGTTACTAGGGATGGTGGTGGTACAGTGGTTAAAGTACTTGGCTGCTAACCAAAAGGTCAGTGGTTCTAACCCATCAGCTGCTCCACAGGAGAAAGATATGGTAGACTGCTTCATAAAGATTACAGCCTTAGAAATCCAATGGGGGCAGTTCTACTCTGTGTACAGGGTTGCTATGAGTTGGAAGTGACTCAAAGCCAGTGGGTTTTGGTTTGGGTACTGAGGTAGGAAGAAGGGAGAGGGAAAGGAGCTCTCATTTCTTAGGAGGTGCTGAGTTGCTATTAAGGGTAATAGGAAAACGTGGAAGCAGGTAGTGGGATGGTTGCACAACATGATGAACATAATGTCATTGAATTGTACATATGAAGAAGTTGAAATGGCAGATATCTTCTTACAGATAGATATTTACCATTGTTGTTGTTGTTGTTATGTGCCGTCGAGTCAGCCCCGACTCATAGCGACCCCTCCTTGGGTTTCCGAGGCAGTATCACTACGGAAGTAGGATTGCCCAACCTTCCTTCCAAGGAGTGGCTGGTGGGTTTGAACCGCCAGCCGTCTGGTTAGCAGGCAAGTGTCTTAGCCACTATGATACTTACCATAATTTAAAAAAAAAAAAAAAGTCTATTAAAGTGGCCCAGTCCATGCAGTCATTCAACAAGTATTCAATGAGCACCTACTATGGGAGGCACTGTCCTCTTGGAGCTCATTGTCTTCAGGAAGATGCTATCAAGGATCACATGTAAGCCACAGATGAGCTCCCAAACTCATGAAATTTATGGTTGAAAAGGGAGAGAAATATTAAACAAATTCATAATTACATATATAAATAGACATACACATGCAAGAGAGAAAGTGCTGGGAGATCTCTGACTTGAAATGTGAGCTCAGGAAAGGCCTGAGGATGAGGAGCCTTCCAGAGAGGAAGTCACAGCCCCAACCCAAAGTGTGAAAGGAGGTATTATCTTACAGCTTTGTCATCGACAAACAGAGTGTAGGGCACTTCATTCAGTGGCTGCCCAATAGAAGTTGTTCAGTAAACTCAATTCCCTGCCCATAGGTACTTTTCTGCTCCTAGAAGACCTCAAAAAGGTCGTGAGTGTTCTGAAACACCCAGTGGTTAAAGAAGGACCGTGTCTGGAGTACTACTTTGAATGCAGTGGGTTTGTTTTGTTTTAATAGCTTTATCGTAGTACAACAATATAATAACAAAACCTTTGCCAATTCACTTTTTACGTATATAATATAATGACATTGATTACATTCATCGTGTTGTAACCATCACCACTGTCTGTTTCCAGATTATTCCACCACCATTAAGAATAACAGTTTTCCCTAAGTGGATGCAGTGTTTTTAATTGGTAAGATACACAGCTTCAGGAAGAAAAACTCTTGTTGAGTAAATATTTCCTGTACAGCATAAAAACTCAAAACATAGTATCTGTATTTATTTACTTACTTATTTTTACTAACCTGATGATGCTTTACGATATGTGGGTAACCCTCCTGCTCTATTAACTACCTATGACCAGTGAATTTAAGCACCCTCCAGTGCTAGGTGATGGGCTGGGACTGCCCCATGGTAAGCTGTGGTGCAAAATGAGCCCTGTCACAGCTTGATGAACACTGGAGACATTGCATATTTGTTTACTGTCAGTCTCCCCCCACTAGAATGTAAATTCCATGAGGGCAGGAATTTTTGTCTTGTTTTATTCACTGCTATATTCCTGGCTCCTAGAACACTGCCTCACATATAAAAAACAATAAATATTTGTTATATATATGAATAAATATATATACGCCCAATGCTCTATTCATTTTTTTTTTTTTTAACCTTTGGATTAGGGTGATGAGAATGCAGAATAGATGTATTCCACTGTACAAAGGAAAGGAATTATTTCCTTAAAGTTTTTCCTCTCTGTTTTGCTAGTGGAGTCCCTGGGTGGTGCAAACAGTTAACATGCTCAGCTATGAACCATCCAAGTGCACCCAGAGGCACCTTGGAAGAAGGGTCTAGAGATCTGCTTCTGAAAAATCAGCCATTAAAAACCCTATGGAGCACAGTTCTACTCTCACATACATGTGAGCACTCAACAACCGTGTGTTTGCTACTGGTTTATTTCAGCAGTATGTTTGGCTGTCAGAAGCTGTTGCTGCCTTTCAGTAAAAGGATTACAAGCCCCATCCACTGTCATGGGACATGCAGGGCCTCACACAGGCAGTACATTCCTTGCCCCTTTGTCAGGCTTCACTGCCTTGCTGCTTTGGCAACAGGAACAGGAGCACATAGGACACCTGCCACATTTTAGCAGGGCTTAGAGAGTGACGGTGTGGTCAGCTCCATCCTCTGCTCTCTTTCCTGGTACACAAGATTGGTGTGCTCCAGAGATAGCTGCTCCTTCAGCCTGGGCCCCAGACTTAAGACCCAAGCCCACCTACAGTTAACATGTAATATCAGTGAGAAATAGATAGGGACTGCTGTAGGCCACTGAAATTTGGGGGCTGTTATCGGAGCAAGGAGTACTTGGGTGATGCAAACAGTTAACACAGTGGACTGCTATCCGAAGGACTGAGAGTTGGAGTCCAGCCAAAGGTGCCACAGAAGAAATGCCTTGTGATCTGCTTCTCCAAAACCAGCCATTAAAAACCTATGGATCCAAGTTCTATTCTGACACTCACAGGGTCACCATGAGTTGGAATCAACTCAACGACAACTGTTTTGCTAGAGCAGCGCTATTACCCCAATCATTAACTATTTGAGACAGTGAGAATGAAGGCAGGGGAGAGACTTAAGAAAGTTGTCTACAAAAACTGACCACAGAAGAAAGAGACATCTCAAATTATAATTGAAGTAAATGACAAGTGAATCCACTTACAAAAATTCATTTAGACACAGTGCTCAGGAACATCTTTTATATAGTCAACCTGTCTATACTTAATGAAAATATTTTAGGAATATTGGAAAGTCAAACCTTGAAATGAACTGAAGAAGGTTACAATGTTGGGGTGCCTCATCTTTGCCAGAAGAATGACTTCTTTCTTTGAAGCTTCTTTCTCTTGGATGGGCATCTAAAGCATGTTAGAAGGCACAGTAAGCTACAGAGGTAATTTGCTTTCAAGACCATGCTTTCTGCTCATCCCCATCTAAAATTCTCTAGAATTTTCCCTTTGGGCAAATGTTGTCTTTTTGATTTTGTACAATTGATTATTCTAAGGAACATGCTCCGCTAGGGTATTATTGTTTATTTTATGGTCCTGTCTGTTGTTTGGCTGAAAGGTGGTCTCCAGGAATGGCTTAAGTTCCAGGTCAGAAGGGTCTTAGGGCCATAGTCTCGGGTGTTCCTCTATTCTCTGTCAGACCAGAAAGTCTGGTCTTTTTTGTGAATTAGATTTTTTGTTCTATATTTTTCTCCTGCTCTGTCTGAGACTCTTTGCTGTGACCCCAGTCAGATGGTAGGTGGTGGTAGCCAGGCACCAGCTAGCTCTTCTGGTCTCCAGGTCATATAGGCTGTGGTACATGTGATCCATTAGTTCTTTGGACTAATTGCTCTCTTGAGTCTTGTTTTCTTCATTCTCCTTTGTTCCAGACAGGAAGAGTCCAATGGTTGTATCTTAGATGGACTCTTGCAAGCTTTTAAGATCCCAGATGCTACTCACCAAAGTAGGATGCACAACATTGTCTTTATGAACTATGTTGTGCCAATTGACACAGATGTCCCCAAGTCTATAATCCTTCACCTTCAAGCTAGAATGTTGTCCCATGAGGTGTTTGGTTATATCTAAGAAGTTTCCATGATGACATTGGTTACTTTGTTTACAATGTATGAACATTCTCATTGTTTCTGTTCTAGTCCCATTTCTATTGACCTAGTTTTCCTGATCCTTTACATTCTCATCTTTGTTTTAAAGTAATTGTTGACTGTTTGGTGACATATGGGTGATTTTTTAAAGGAGCACAGTGCTTACGGATGATATTCATTACACTGTGGGATTTTACTATCCTTTAATGTGACTTTTAAATCTGATCCTTTAAGGGCAGAGAATGATATTTTTAGCATAAGCAGAGTGCACTATATGTAATCAATGGTTTGTCAATGACAATCATAATCAAGAAAATAAATATTTCTTTTTGGGAGCTCTGGTGGTGTAGTGCCTAAGGCATTTGACTGCTAACCAGAAGGCTGGCAGTTCAAATCCACCAGCCGCTCCTTGGAAGGAAGAGTGGGCAATCTACTTCCATAGAGATACCACCTCAGAAATCCAAGGAGGGACTACTATGAGTCGAATCAACTCAACAGCAGAATGGCAGTGAGTGTGTATGTGTGTGTGAATGAAGTTTTGCATTATTAAAAGTTCAGATGGATTGGTGGTAATGTCTTAATCATCTAGATATTTGGACGAAAGTTATTTTAATAATTATCTTTTAGCACCAAAATAATTTTTATATTATAAAAATGTAATGTCCCAAAAGCAATCACCGCTGAGAAGAAACAAATGAAATTACCAAAAACAAATAAATAAATTCCATATCACATAAATTTAGCCAGTAAAGTTCTATATTAAGATTACTACATTATCCATTTTCAAATAAAAATGGTCACTTGTGAGTTCATTTCAGTTATCTGTATTTTCTTATTATTCTATTTATCACTTGTGGACAATACTTTTCAAGTGTTTTGATGCCAGGGGCCACATCTCATCTCTACCTTTATTTCCTCATTCTCGACGCATGACTAACTTGCCATTTCTACTCTGACGTCCAGCCCCTAGTGAACCTTACCTTTCTGGCCTCTGCTCACTATTCATTCCTCTCTACTGCTCCTGCTGCAATATTTCCCAACACTGGGCCACAGGTAAGGTGTGGGTCTCCAAATTTCTCATTTTCCCATAAGGGCTTTAAATTTAAGAGTTTTTTTTCCCCCACTAAATTAACATTCTCAATTGCACCCTCACTGCCTTTAGCTATGACTATATATCCTTTGGTAAATTAACTAGCACCTCTAAGCTTCAGTGCCCATACTCCCCTCAATTTAAACTGCATAGTCAGCACTGATGAGTTTTCTAAACAAAAATAACTGGATTACTCCTACTAGATTGCTAGATTTAGCTACTTGGAAAAAAAAAATTAACTGCTATTCCTCAAAAGAATATTGCAAACAAAATTAAAAAGCAGGCATAAATTCAATAAAAATACTAGCAACAGACATAACAAAGGTCTTTTATTTATAATGTATAAGGACTTCTGGCAAATTAATAACATGAAAAAGAAAATAACTGATAGAAAATAGGCAAAGCATGGGAATAGGTAACTCGCAACAAAAACCAGCCACTAAACAGAAAAAGACATTCAACCTCATTTGAAAATTGAAAACAAAATCAATACAATGTTTCATGTATGACACTGACAAAGATGGAAAGAATGTTAATGCCCACCATTAGTCAGAAAGCTGCAAAACAGACACTCATGTACTTCCTGTGAAAGTATGTAAATTGTTCCAGGAAGGTAATTTTACATTGTATGTTGTTGTTATTTGCCATCGAGTCGGCCTGACTCACAGCAACCCCTCCTTGGGTTTCTGAGGCAGTATCACTACGGAAGTAGGATTGCCCAACCTTCCTTAATAAGAAACTTAAAGATGCCCCTAAAGATGAGGCAGTCTGCTTCTGTAAAGGTATAAAGCCTTGGAAACCTTATGGGGCAGTTCTACTCTGTTGTACGGGGTCGTTATTACATTCTGTGCCAGGCATTATTCTGAATGCTGAGTGGTAGATAATAAACAAATAAATGAATGAAGTCATTTCACATCATTATAAATGATGTGATAGGAGTTAGTGAGGTTAGGGAGGTATCTTAGCTAGGATGGTTGGGGAAGGCCCCCCTCTGTGCAGGCATCTGAATAAGGAGACACAGCCAGAGAGGAATGTACCACGCTAGGGCACAAGAAAGAAAAAGTAAGCACAATGGAGAAGGGTGGGATATTATAGGGCTTTGGAGGCCACCGTAAGAGTGTGGTAGGAGGCAGGGGAGATATGATCTTTTTTCTTTTTTAAAATAAGATCATTGGTTGCTCTTTGGGTACTGGAAATAGGAGGGCACAAGTGAACAAGGTCAACTGAACTTAAAATGCATTATTGTAAAACCAAAAAACGTGTTTCCTTTTCACACAGGATTAAAAGCCAGCTGAATATCCCACTGAAAATTAACAGGATTTTTTTCCCTAAATTTTATTTATTTTGTTGGTGCTGAGACTATACACAGTGAAACATACACCAATTCAACAGTTTCTCCAAGGACAAGTTAGTTGGATTACATTTTTCGAGTTGTGCAACCCCTCTCACTCATCTTTTCTGAGTTGTTCCTCCCTCACTAACCTAAACTCACTGACCCCTAAGGTTCCTATCTAATCTTTCAAGTTGCTGTTGTCAATTTGATGCCATATAAAACCAAAAAAAAACAAACACATTGTCATCAAGTCGGACCGACTCATAGTGACCCCTCCTTGGGTTTCCCAGGCGGTATCACTACGGAAGTAGATTGCCCAATTTCCTTCCAAGGAGTGGCTGGTAGGTTTGAATCGCCAGCCTTGTGGTTAGCAGTCAAAGGCCTTATGCCACCAGAGCTTCCTTCATTCCATATAGATACGTCTTAAAAGAGCACAATGTTTAAGGCAGACCATTTTTACTAGTTAAGCTAAACTACTGTTTAGTTTTAAGATGAGTTTAGGAGATACTTTTGGTTTAAGGTTTAAAGATTATTTCAGGACAAGAGTTTCAGGGATTCATCTACCTTCCATGGCTCCAAAAAGTCTAGAGTCCATGATAATTTGAAATTCTGTTCTACGTTTTCTCTCTTTTGATCAGAATTCTCTACAGAATCTTTAATCAAAATGTTCAGTAATGGTAGCTGGGTACCATCCAGTTCTGGTCTCATGGCAAGGCAGGCAGCTGTTCATGGTGGCAATCAGCCACCCATTCCATATCCTCCTCCTATTCCTAAATCTCCTTCCTCTGCTGATTCAGGTGAATAGAGACCAATTGTTGTGCCTTAGGTGGCTGCTTGCAAGACCCCAAGCTCTACACAACAAATTAGGAGGTAGAACACAAGCACTAAACATGTCATTAACTGAGCCAATTAACTAGGATGCCCTATGAAACCATGATCCTAAAACTCCGAACCAAAGAACTAAATCCATAAGGTGTTTAGCTGTACATAAACAGCCTCAGTACTCTTTTCTTTTAGTCATTGTAAATATATGTATCACAGAACTTTTGCCAATTCAGCTTTTTACAGGTGTATAACTTATTGACAGGAATTACAAAAATTAACAGGTATTTGAACTTAAGTTTACCTTTGCAAAATTGATCTCTTTTATAACACAGTGCTTGTTATCTGTTTTTCCTTTAGCCAGATATGCTTTCCCGAAGGCACCTTCCCCAATTGCCTTAATCACATCATATTCATCCATAGTCTCTAATCCACAGAGGTTCCTGGAATTAAAGTAATGAGATTTTATCTCACACATTTCATAAAGACCAACAAAGAAAATAAAACTGATGACTAAAATTTAAAAGAACTAATTTTCTTAAAACTCTCCTTCCAACACTGCCAAGTCGGAGTGAAATAATTTTCTTTGTGTCATCAGATAAAAAAACAATGTGAGACAGGCTTCTTGGTGGGCTCCAAGGTCAGACTTTGATAAACCGGCATTGTGCTCTTAGGCAAGTCACTTAACCTCCAAAATCTGTCTCCTAATTTCTAAAATGGAAATTACAATACCTGTTTTATAAGGCTGCTTTGTTAAGGAAAGAAATCACAACCTCAATGCTTGGCATCTCTACAAAGCTGGAATGTAATTCTTCCTACCATAATATCCGCTTTAGGCTTGAGTAGTTTTTTCCAGTGTGACTGTACTGCCCCCTAGTGGACATTTTGGAAATTTGTAGGGTTTTTTTTTTCCCCCACTGACATTGAGAGAATCCCTGGATGGTATAAATGGTTAAGCCACTGGCTGCTAACCAAAATGTTGGAGGTTCAAGTCCACCCAGGGGCACTGTGGACCACAGTTCTGAAACATATGGGGTAGCTATGAGTCCGAATCAACTCTTTGACAACTGATTTTTACAGATAAAGAAGCACTACTAGTGGAGGAGATGGGCAGATGTGTTAAGGTTCTGCAAGGCCAGGGAGGTCTACATACAAGGGATTATCTGTGGCCTCGAAACCCAAAACCAAACCCACTGCCGCTGAATAGATGCTAATAGCGACCCTATAGGACACAGTACAACTGCCCCATTGTTTCCAAGGCTGTAAATCTTCACTGAAGCACACTGCCTCATCTTTCAGTGGTGGGTTCAACCTGCCAACCTCTTGTTCAGCACCTGAACGTTTATACCACTATGCTACCAGAGCTCCTTCTGCAGTCCCACAACCTTGGAAAGTCTCCCCATACATTCATGCGCATGGAAAAATGAATTATAATTATCTGTTACTAAATGCAAACTTCATTTTACATAGAAATACTAAGTCTTTTTTGTAAGGTTTTAATTAACAATTAGTCTTCTAGGAACTTTACCAAGAATTGTTCGCCATTTTGGAAAATCATAACCCTGACTGGCTAGGCAGCTCCTGGTGTTGGCGAGGCATCCTTCTGTCTGCCTTTGTGCAGGAGCACCTCGCTACTTCATCACTTCTTCCAGTGTAGTATGTTGTTGTTGTTGTTATGTGCTGTCGAGTCGGCCCCGACTCATAGCGACCCCTCCTTGGGTTTCCGAGGCAGTATCACTACGGAAGTAGGATTGCCCAACCTTCCTTCCGAGGAGTGGCTGGTGGGTTTGAACCGCCAGCCTTCTGGTTAGCAGTCAAGTGCTTTAGCCACTATGCTACCAGAGCTCCCCAGTGTAGTATAAGACATTTATATTACTGAAGTACTTTATTAAACTCTGTTATGAACTACCCTCATTGTATTTTTCCTTTATACTAGTTAGGGCATTATGTATTTTGCAGACGTTTTATGTCAGAGTAGGAAGGAGAACAATTAGGGCCCATGAGGCTGAGAACCAGCTCTGCGGGCAGGAAAGGTTGCGGACACTCCCAGACAGGGTATTGAGGACCGACAGCAGTATCCGGGCTCGAGGTGACCAGCCGCAGAAAAGGGCCCACTATTCTCCCAGGGAACACCAAAGGGAGAAGCCTTCGGGTTTAGGGAAAATCTTTTCTTTTGGGACACCCCCGGAGAATGGCAGGCCGGTGGATGGTACTCGTGGTTCCCAGGAGGGTGGGGGCTAGGGAACGCCTGTAGCTTGAGAGCTTGGCGTGTTGTACGTTGCCATGGAGACCTGCGCGCCCCGGGCCCCAAAGCTGCTCCTCTTCCTTCCACACCTCCCTGGCCGACCATTTCCCTTTCCCGGCGGCTCCTGCAACCCAGGAGGCAGCTCCAGGTTAGAATTCAGGGCAACACACCCGCACCATACCTGCTTCGTGGCTCCGCGGGTGAGAAAAGCGTCCGGGGAGGATCTGGTTCCCTGGCCACAGCGCCTCCAGGCGATGGGGCGGAGCCGCGCGTGATGCAAAGCAGGGGCGGCTCTGCCCTCACAGTGGCCCGCTGCTCCACCCCGACCAGGGGTCAGTCTAAACCCCGTCACGGGTTTTGGAGGCCGAATCTCGGCCTTTCAGCATTTAACCAGAATACTGTTCCCGTTCTTATCTGCGGTTTACCAGATGCTTGGCATGCACTCTCTTCTCTCCATCAGCCCTGAAAGTTTTACAAATCCCAGTTTTACAAGTGGGATAAACAGAAGTATGTTTTTTTTCTGGAAGGTTTCAAGTGTTGTGAAGTGGTGGAAATGAAACAGGGCCCATTCCTTTGACCACAGCTGACGATCTGATGTGTGGGGAGGGGGAGCGGGGGTGTGTCCTCTTACTAAACTGACCTCAGGCCAGGCTTTCCAGCTGCCCAGTCGTCCCCCAAATCTCTTTGTACATCAAAACTAAAAACCAAACCCACTGCCCTCGAGTCCATTCAGACTTACAGTGAGCCTGTAGGATAGAGTTGAAATGCCCCATAGTTGTTTCCAAGACTAAATCTTCACAGAAGCAGACTGCCACATCTTTCTCCCCTGCAGCAGCTGGTGGGTTGCAACTGCATAAGTTTCCTTACCAGGCAAGTGCTTTAACCACTGCACCACCATGGACATCAATCTGCTGTCTAAAACATATCATTGGGAGTTTAAGTCAGTGAAAATGATGTGATCTTCAGCAATTGGAAATACCCACAACTTGTCATACTCTGGTGCCTTGCATGTTACTGGGATGGTGGAAGCTATCCATGGATATTTTAAGTACAAGTAGCATCATCCATGTGGACGGGTTTCAGCAGAGCTTCCAGACTAAGATAAACTAGAAAGAAGAATGTGGCTAGGTCTTCCTCTGAAAAAATTGCCCAATGATGATAGCAGCAGCATATTGTCTGATAAAGTGCTGAAAGATAAGCCCCTCAGGAACTGAACTCACTCCTGTGGCTTTCAGCCAAACAGCAGACAGGTGTATAAGGTGAACATTTACACCAGGTAGGTACACTCCTTGAAACAATCAACCATAGGAGATCAGAAGGGCAATAATTGCACAGGGAGATAGCTCAGAGGGCAGGAATGCATAAGAAAGAAGGACACAGTGAAAAGATAACCACAGGGAAAAAGTGGGAAGAGAGTGTTACATTATGGGGATTGCAATCAATGTCATGAAATAAAATGTGTATGAACTATTGTATGGAAAATGAATTTGTTCTGTAAACTTTCATTCAAATCACAATAGAGAAAAAATTCTAATGTTACACAGTTGATCAAAATAAAATATATCACAACAGAGACAAATGCATATAAAAATAAAAAGTGAAATTTTATCGGAAAGTCATCTTTTAAAAGACCTGGTGGGCTTCCTTTTTTTCCAATTAGTTCATGTATCCATAGGTGAATACTAACTTCTTGCTAGCATAGATAAGCTCTCCCATTTTGCTGAAGTTGTAAGGGCAAAGCAGTTTCATTCATATAAGGAAACAGAGAAGAATAGAAGCTTTGTTAAAAGTGTCCCTCAATTCTTGCCTAGTTGTATGTCAAGAATCACATAGAAATCTTATCATTAAAAATCATTTATAATCAGCTGATAATCCCATTAGAGTCTCAAATATTGTTGAAAGTAAAACTCTGGAAACCATTTGACTTTCAAAAGGATTTGAAATCCAATCAAGACTTGCTCAATTGCTCAATAACTATATGTCATTTCAGGTTCCCTTGAAGCAATGCTAAAATTTGAGATGACTAAGGGTTACAAGGAGCTGTGGTAGCATAGTGCCTAAGGCATTTGACTGCTAACCACAAGGCTGGCAGTTCAAACCCACCAGCCACTCCTTGGAAGGAAGGTTGGGCAGTCTACTTCCGTAGTGATACTGCCTGGGAAACCCAAGGAGGGGTTGCTATGAGTTGGATCTGACTCCATGGCAATGAGTTGTTGAAGAGTTATAAACTACAGGATCTATGTAAGCTGAATATCTGCAAATATCCAGAATACTATCCATACCTACCTGAACTCTTAAAAGTCTTCAAGGGGATGGTGGGGGAAAAAAAGGAGCTAACATAAGTAACTTTTAAAAGGGTGTTTTGAAAAATGACCAGAATTACTGGTCAGATAAAGACTGCTGGAAGCCCCAAGACGGGTCCCAGGTTATCCTTCAGGCCTGGAACTGGACTCACTTCTGTGGATTAGCTATCAGCCAAACAGCAGAAAGACCTACAAATAGAACACCTACCCCAGGAAGACGCACCCCTTAGATCAATCAACCATGAGGCATCAGATGGGCAGCATTTGCACAGAGGGAAAGCTGGACAGACAAGAATGTGAAGATAAGAAGGGCACAATGAAGTAGTCGTCACAGGGAGGAGATGGAAGGAGAGCTTTTTATGGTTGGGGATTGTAATCTGGGCCTGAAATTAAATGTGGATGAACTGTTGAAAGTAAAACAAATCTGCTTTGTAAATCTTCACTCAAAGCACAGTTTAAAAAAAAATAAAATAGAGTGTTTTGACTAGAAATTGTAAGGTTACAAATACTGGGAGTTACACAAATTCTGTACTCTAGTGGGTACATTTTTTTTTTTACTTTTTGATTTGGGTATAATTTTATAAAGCAGATTCATTTTACATTCAATAGTTGATACAAATTTTGTCAAGACACTGATTACAATCCCCACAACGTAACAGCTCTCCTCCTCCCTCCTCCCTGTGGTTTACCCCTTTACTGTACCTCTCATTCCTGCCTGGTCAGCTTTCTCCTGTGTAAATGCTGCCCTTCTGATCTCCCATGGTTGACTGTTCTAAGGAGTGCATCTCCCTAATGCAGCTGTTCAGCTCATAGGCCTATTGTTTGGCTGAGTTAAGCCACGGGAGTGAGTTCAATTCTAGGCCTGAAGAGTGA